AATAAAACCGAATTTTATTTATTTATGTTCTGAATATTTGTTAAAACGATATCTACATGGTACTACCCAAAATTCAAACAAACATTTAATCAAATATAAGGTGTCCTAAAGATGTATTTGTTTGCTAAAAAATTTTTAAAGATTAATGTAGCTTCAGCTGTTATTTATTATAATGATGGAATGTTTGGTTTTTCAAACGTTTTTGAGATTATAAATCTCAAATTCGGATATAATGGTAATTATGGTTCGTGTAAAATAGATAACAACCGCTAACGTCATTTAAAAAGAAAATTTTCTAAAGCTTTCAAAATGGGCACAAAAATGCTTAGAGGTGTCAAAAAGAGGTTTATTAATAATGAAAATGATATTGAAGGTGGTAAATCTTACTCTCCAGCAAAATATTAGAAATTTTATAGCATGTTTTTTAAATGTTTTTACTTCAGAATTGTTTTTTTTCGATATTGTGCAAAAGTTAAAATTGGTTTTCTTAAAAAGTATAAAAGCAATAAACTTGAAGTTTTCAGGAGATACTTCTAAACAATTGCTTAAGAGACTGTAGCAGAACTACTTAAAAAAGTGATATTATTTGTAATAATAAGTTTGAAATAATTATTTTAAATAAAAAATTGATTTTTATTTTGCTTCCTTTGCTTTTATCCACCATTTTTAATATTTTTAATATTCAAATTTTTAATATGCAAATTTTAACTAAAAAACTCTGCTACAGTCTCTTTGTATTGGAACCATAAAAATATTCTAAAATTTTTAAGTTCATTTGATGTATGATTTAGGAATTATAAAGTGAGATTATGTTTTACTTATTTTTTGCTGACTTGGCAAAACATAAGTAAAATATAAACTTAATTTTTTGGAGTGTATTTGTTGATAAAAATGATTATTCTTTTCATTTATACAAATAACCAAACTATAATTGTAATAGTCATTCAGCAATTTAATTGAACTGAGATGACATTGAATTTCAATCAAATATTCTTGTTTAGTTTTATAAAAATTCTCATCTCTAATGATTTTTATAATCGATTACGGCGTCCTACCGTGAGAATTCCACAAAGTGAAACCTGGCAGGGTGTCATTACACTTTATGTCTGCCAAATGTTTTTACAATGGACCTGCAATAGTGAAATTATCTTGGTTTAAATTTTAAATTTTGAATTCTTTCATTTGAAAAATTTTATTCAACAAGAATTTAAAGCGCTTCACGGCAGTAGAATTATCTTTAGATCCGTTTGACTCGGCAGCTACTTGTAATTCTTGCTCATCTTCACAAACACTTGTAACTTGTAAGAAAGCAACGGTTGGATCTAGCAAACATACAGCAGATGGAGAAGGATTAAATGTATCCGAGTCCGAATTGATATAACATTCAAAATAGATCTCCAAGAAGATTTGCTGTTAAAGTATTTTTTGTAGGAGGCTCTTGCAGATGGCATTCCAAAAGGGATTGGGCATTGATTCGAAGTATATCCGTTTGAACTGCGAAGGGTTCTAAAAGTAAGGAAATGCTTTGTAGCCAAACCCATTCACTTGCTTTGAATGTGTTAATTCCTAAATTTAGGCAAATCATCTGAAAATAAAGTTTAATAATAACAATTTTAATAATTAATAATTGTCATAGTTTTTTCCATGTCCCTTTTCCCATGCTTTTATGATATAATTTAAAAGTAAGGATATAACCTTTACAATACATCCTAACTTGTTTTTTAATAATAATGACTAAAAAACCTCTTTCAATTTATTTCTACTTTTATATTCTTAATTAAATACGACAGAAATTATGTGTTCAAACTACCAAAAATAGTTTGAATGCAATAATAACATAATCATTACTAAATAATTAATAACATTAATATTATTATATATTTATTTCTGTTAAAACTTTATTCAACAGTCGGTTGATCATCTGATATGTACTGTTCCATCATGTGGTGCAAACAGTGATCACATTTTTTCCATTTTTGTCAATGAGTTTCACAATTGCCACACTTGATTTTATAATTTTTGATATAACTTGATACAATTTGTCTTGTTTTTAAGATAGTTGCATTATAATGTTTGTAAATTGGTTTTAAAAGAGGCTGAAGTGTGTAAGCGATACCGGGAATTTGATGATATGGAAAATATACTGGCAGGGATATATCAATTCAATGTAAAAATGAGTGTCTTCGTTATTTGTTTCATGTTCAGATTCGTCAAATTCAGACTCTTTAGATTCAGGTTTGTCAGATGTTATGGCTGTGTGCTCTTTCTGTAACAGTTTGATGGCTTTGACCAAATATAGACCCATCATCTGAAACAAAAACTTGATTTTTTTTAATACCTTAATAGTCAAGACATTTTTAAAACTCTTTGCAAGCATCTCACCAGTGTGCGGATGTTAGAGTGCCGCAAAATTTAGCAGAACATTTTGTGTTTCCATCAAGACAAATTGACAAATTGCGCACAAATCACCAAGTCTTTTAGTCGTACAGATTGTAAATGGAAATGTTCGTTTATCCGCTTGTTTAATGTTGCAAACCCTGCAATTAAATTAAAGTTAAAATTATAGCGTTAATGTTCTAATAAAAATTATAATGTTATAATAACAATTATAATGGGTAATTATGTGAATTAAAGTTGAAACAATTATGTAATTTTTTGCTAAATTACTGTTAATGTAAATTTGCTGGAATTTACCATAATTTTGCTTTAAATTTGGGTATTTTTCCATAAATTACAATAACTTTACTTGAACCATGGTGAACCTAAATCATTATTTTACCCTTTTGACACACTAATAATAGTATATTTATTTTAGGTAATCCATGCACTATATCAAATTTAAATTAAGCTAACCCTAAAATATTACAAATTTGGCTACTGGAAGTTTCTACGCACGCTATAAGCTAATTTGTAACATTATTGAAATTAAAATATTTTACAAGTTTAGTTGTGAATTAAATGGCAATTTAAATTCTCGATCAAACGTTTTTGACATATTTTGAAATATCCTAGCAATGCCAGTGGGCAGCTAGCACTGACAATAACTTCAATCATTCTGACGCAGTCGATGCTCACTTGATTCCGACGACCACTCTGTTATTCGGCGCTCTTTGTCTTTTTACTATTTCGGGAAGATGTCGAATCATTTTCATAACTTTTGCGCTTTAAAAATTGTTTTTTTGCATCTCGTCTTTTTTTTTCTTTAATGTAAATTTTGTTAATGTATTCTCTGAACATGCACTACCAAGTTACTGGAGTAGTGCCACACGCGCCCTCATTATTTTTGTCCTGAACTAGGCATGTGGGTGTGTCATTGTTAATAAAAAATTTCCATACATAACTTAAAACAATAAAGGATTCGTTAATAAATCAATAATTTTGGTTCAGTAATACTTCAAAATTTTACTTCTATTTTTGTTTCTGATACTGAAATTCAACTCTATTTGAGTTTTCGTTCTTCTTATAATATTGCTAATTTCAGTTTTCATTCAAATTAACGAAATTAATAACTTTTACTTCTAATTTTACATCACGTTAAGTTAATATCACTAATCTGTTGTTCCCTTGTTTAACTACATGTTATTGATAAATACATTGTTTTTCCTTTGTTTTCAAGAAATCTCTCTAGATTTTGATAAAGTTTGATATATAAAAAAAAAAATTCGTTCATTACTTGGTCGAGCAGTTTTGTTCTGTGATATAAACCATTTTCTATTGTGCCTCCTCCTCCTTTATAAATCATTACCATCCTACCTTTTTTAAATCATTAATCATAAAGTTAATGTTCTAAAAATCGAGTTCTTACTTAAATACAAACTGTAGTTACTTTAAGGTTATTTGGTTATATTAGTTTACTGTAGTAATTAAATTGACTTTGTAAAAACAACTGTGGTTACAATTTTTTTGAAAATATCGTACTGAAGTTCTATAGCAAATTTAGTACGGCATTTTGAAAACTATCATAAAAAATTATTTTTGATAGCCTATTATTTATAAAAAATTATTTTTGATAGCCTAAATCTAAACTTGCAACCTTAAAATCCCAATGTAATTGCTATTTTAAAGATTTTTTTTTTCTTCGTTACTTTCAACATAAAAGTTTTCGATTTCTTTTGATGCTCTATTTTTGGATTTTTTTTCTTGAAGCCTAAATAAATCAGTGACTGCAATTTAAATTGTAATTACTGGGCATTGCTTAACTGAAGATACAACGTAACAAAGATTGAAGTACAAATTTGGTGGCCGGTGAATGTACAATTATTGCAGGTGCCGTATAACTTTAATGGTATAATTTGATATAACTTTAATTACACCAATTGAAAGACTTATTAGAGTTGTTTATCACTGTCTTAAAATGTATCAATTTTTTGAAAGCTGGGCTATTCGGAGCATTTTTATTTTGTACTTGAGATGCACAAAGGTTTTAACTTCGATTTCTGATGCAACATACCAATGCCAAGTTTTAATTAGGGAATAAAAAGGCAAAAGATATGCATCATGAAATCAAGATTTTAGCAAGTCAAGTTTTACTATAGAATCCCTTGCTTTTACCATTGTATTGTCGCAAGTTTTGAAGTTTCCATTACTTTATGTAAAAAAACATCAAAATTTCACAATTGGTTAAATGTTAATTAAATTGAGCCGTAAACAATTACATATAGTTCAAGAAATTAAAGGGTTTCACATCACACAGTTATTATAAACCTATTTTAAATAATATAGGGTAAACAGTTTTAAAATGTGTAGCTCCTTTTTTCCTATATTATATTATTAACATTTATTTAAATGTATTCCAACAGTTTTTTTATGAATAATGTTACATTTTTTGCTATTATAATCGGTGCATTTAAAAAATAAATTAATTGCATGCTTTTGCATAAAATAAAATTTTTCTGTAAAGGGTGAACCCTTTACTGAAAAATTTTATTTTATGTTAATGTCATCATAAGAACTTTTTATCTACGTCAAGTTAAAGTTAGCTATTACAAATAGATACTAAATAGATAATAAGTAATGATAATATTATTTGCATACCAAAAAACATTTACAAATTTATTTTCAAATATAAAAAGTTTATCGCCTAAATAATTATTTTAACGATTTAAAATTACGTAATAAATTTCGTTTACTATTGATGATTCACATCATACAACAAGCGCATCGCCTTTTCTTAATTGGCGCAATGATGTGGTTCGCGTGTTAGCTTCACGTGCCTGTTGTCGTACTTCAAAAACCTGAAATAATAATAATAAAAAAGTTATTATATACCGTAAAAACACCTAATTACGGATGAAACCTAATTACGAACGGATTTATAAAAAGCTTCGTATCTTTCATATTATACCAAATTTATAATTTTTTTTTATAAATTAACACTTTAACACAAGACAAATCGAATGATTAAAAAAAACAGTTTTTGATAATGATAAAAAACTCAGAATGATAAATAACTCAGTTTTGAAAATAAAATTAAAATTGTGTTAACACTATTTTGTGCTATATTTGACGCTGATTAATATTATGTAAAAAACTGCAATATTGTTATTATTTCTAAAAATAAATTCAAAATAAGGCAGAAACAAGCAAAAAAAAAAAAAAAAAAAAAAAAAAAAAAAAAAACTTAACTTAAAAAAAAAGTTACTAAACTCCGGATACAAGTATGCACACATAATTGTGTTATAAATGTTAAAATGAATGATAATTAGCTCACTTATTCAAAGATGGGAAACCAACTAAAAAATGGTACAGCGGATTCATCAAAAAGTATGAAAATGAAATTAGAGCAAGAAAAGCTAGTGGCATACAAGCTATTAGAGCAGTGGCTACACAGCTGAAAATGAATGACGACTGGTTTGACCAAGTAGGTGTCATCTATCTTGAGCGCAATCTCAGTAATAAGTCAATTCATATTTTGTCTGGATTACAATGCGAACAAAGCATAGTTAAAATTGTATTCAGAAAAGGTACTAGAAATCCAAAAAAATTAGTTTGTGGTGCTTATGGAAATTATTTGCCACATCAAGTAATTTACAAAGGAAAACATATTACGAAAAGTTAGTGCATAGGTGGCGCTGAAAATGTTTATTATAGTAGTAGCGAATCGAGTTGAATGAAGTCAAAACAATTTCTTGAGTGGTTCAAATCAGTGTTTTTGCATCATGCAAATAAACTTGAAGAGTTTAAACTGCTCTTTCTTGATGGTCACGCCTCGCATTTTAGTTTAGAATTGAAAATATTATACTTTGGCGCTTGCCTGTTCATACGAGCCATTTTTTATAGCTTTTAGACGTAGGTGTCTTTAAAACACTTAAAAGCGAATGGAAGCGAACAGTAGACAATTTTTTGACTAAAAACAAAGTTTAACTTTTAAAAATTAGACAATTTCCTTCCAAGTTTAAGGAACTTATCGCAAACAATTTTTTTAAACCTGAAACGCTCGTAGTGGCTTTAGCAGTAGTGGTTTTTTTTACATTTAATCGATCAAACATTTCTTCTAAAAAAACAATTGGCAAAGTTTTTGAAGCTGTCGAAGAAGAGAACATTAATAGCTTATTTCAGTCTGTAACCAATACACCTAGAACTTCTAAAACACCATTAAGTGGGATGTCAAACTGAGAAGTGTTACTTAAAAGTTCAACTATAATAAATGAAACAGTTATAAAGGCAGGAAAAGACACCTTTAGATGATAGAAAGGAGAAAGGTGAAAGAAATAAATTACATGCGAACAGTGTGCTAGTTGGTCTTGCGTCGCTTGTGTGATTATCATCCTTCTACGGAATTTATATGCATGGATTGCCAATAGATAGTGATCGACCAAAACAGAAAAAAAGCTGAAACCGAAATAAACCGAAATTTTGGGTACTCTCGTTCGGTGCCGAAACCGAAGCCGACATTTTGGCAAATATTTTACCGAAACCGATACCGAGATTTCGGCTAGTCAAAATTAATTTCATTAGAAAAATTTATTTTAAAATGAAATTTTACTTTTGTTGTTTTTTTATAATCGTATTATTTAAGAATTGATTACACGTGTATCACAAATTAAAATTTAATTCATAAGTTGGCGATATAAGCTAACAGCATAAGTAAACAACTGGCAGATTTTCCCTGTAAAACAAGATTTTTTTCGAGGTATTTTGTGAAAATTCTCAAAATTTGTGTGAAAATTCTGAAATTATTTTGTGAAAAGCCTCAAAAATAACTGGTTTTCTAAATTAGATAAAAATTAAAAATCTTACAAATATTTCGGTTTTCGGTATGCTTTTCAACCGAATTTTCTGTTTTTACAGAATTTATAAAAAGTACCGAAACCGAAATTTCGGTACCGGTTCAAATTAAAATTTCGGCCCAAACCGAAACAGAATTTCGTTCGATCACTACCAATAGAATATTTTTTGCCATAACATAGTTTAAAACAATTTCATTTAAGAAAAATATTGGTGATATTTTCGTTGATTAATTTTAATGAGTTTAAAGTGTATTTTTTTTCTATTTTGTATCCATCCGGAATTAGGTTCACAGTGCCCTAATTCCGGATAAAAACGTTTTTTATCCGGAATAAAAAAATTTTTTTTTGAAAACTTAAAGTTAAAATAACAACTTTTTTTTCTATCGTTTGGTTCGTCTTGTAGTAATATATATATATATATATATATTTTTTTTTTAACTCGTTATTATAAGTGAGTTATATAATTTTTTTTTAAAACGTTCGTAAATAGGTGTTTTTACGGTACTAAAATGTAAAAAAAAAAAAAAAAAAAAAAATTACCTCTTGAATAGCTTGTCTAAAACAGTGAAAATTGTAATCTATCAGGCCTAAACAAAATTTACAATTGAATTTAAATGTTATTGTGAAGCAATCTTTATAAAAATTCATAAAAATAATGGTTTCTAGGGCATAAATTCAGAGTAGGTTTGGTTAACCAAGAAAATATTTTCCAATATCACACTAACAGACAACTTTATTTTTTTAGTCTTAGATAAATTTATTAAGTATTTTATTATTTTCAGGTTTATTTTATTAGGTCAAAGCATAGTCATAAGAAATAGAAAATCTGGAAGCTAACAATGACCGATTGTTTAAACTTATTGTATGTGAAATTATCCTTAGATTTCAGACCCTGTACAAATTTTGAAAATCCAACTGTTTAAAAAAAAATTTTAACTGCATAAAAAAAAAAACAAGAGGTAATGCAAACGTCGGGTGAAAACTGCTCAGTTTATATTCTCTTTCGTTAATATTTATTATTAAAAAAAATTTTTTTTTTCAGATAAGTTTAGGGTAAGTTTTTGTAGCGCGTTTTTAAATTTTAAAAATATGCCGTGGTCAAATCGTTAAAACATTTTTTTTGCGTGGTCATATAAAGACATGAAATCGCACGTCTTCCTGTGAAAGCCTGTGCCTTATATTTGAAATATAAAAAAAAATCATTTCAAAATGTTGAAATGGCATAAAAGTTCCTGATCCTATTGATATTTTGAATTTAAAAAAAAATTAAACATATTATTATTATTATTATTATTATAGTTGTAGCCGTAAATTTACATAGAATGTACACAGCGAGCAGGGAAAACACCCCACTATAAACAACAAGTTTTATAAATATTTGTTCCAAACTTATTCAACCAGGAGTCTAGTCTATTTTTGAAGGAAAGTACAGTGGAGTACAAAGTTATTTGCTCTGGTAGTTCGTTCCAGTATTTTGCTGATCGATTATACAAATGATTATATCTTGGAAGACAGTTTGGAACATACTCACGCCTTTTTTAAGAATGGTGACCACGAGACATGAAGTTAATATATTTTGGTAGATATTTATCATTAACTATATCAATTGTACGTATTAGATATATTAATTGTATTAATTTAAAAATTTGGATTAAATCGCATCGAAGGAGTCGAAACTCAAGTGATGGTAGATTTAATCTTTTTAGCCTTTCACAGTATTGAAGATGCCTCAAGCTGTAAGCCCATTTTGTTACTTTGCGTTGAACAGATTCAACCAAAGCCATATCAGCTTTTAAATAAGGAGCCCAAATGGACACTCCATATTAAAGATGTGGTCTTATAAATACTTTATATAATTTGAGAGCCATTTTTTCATCAATGAAAGTGAATGTCTTTTTCAGCATACCAAGAATTGGTAAGGACTTAGAGACAACTATTTGAATATGAGCGCTCCACTTGAGGTTAGATGTAAAAATGACTCCTAAATCACGTTCTTTAGTAGAGCTTCTTAGACATTTGTTGATTCCTTGATTATTTTGCAGAAAGTAATTGTAATGGGGGTTGTATCAATTGAATCATATCAATTGTAATAATAATTTCTTGTACTTTGAACTTTTGATTATTTTGTGTATAAAGACTCTTTATTAAAGTTGCATTAAATTGCATGATATTAAATTTCATGGCAGCAACTTTTTCAATTATTAGTTTTTGGAAAAAAACCAGCCTTGCAGATTTTTTCCAATTCAAGCAATAGAAAGAAGAAATCAAACTAATGAAATCTGCTTTTGATATATGTAGTAAGAAAATTTGTTCAGAATATAGTAAAGATCTCGATTTGACCATCATTTATTTAGCTAGTGATCATCACTTATTTAGCTAGTGATCATCACCTTTCATGAATTTGTTTTGGGATGAGCAGCAGAAGTATTTGAGTTAGTTCCAATCTTTTATTTATCAGATACCAACCCACAATAATAAAATATTATCTAAACCTTGCTCCCAATTTATTATCAGCTATACTGATTTGCGATATCATTCTCAGACATGTGTAGGCTCTTCCAAGACATGTGTAGGCTCTTCCAAGAAATTAAGGATTTAAAGTGCAATTTAAATCTAGCTGTTTTAAATGAGGTATGGGGTCGTCCAGAAGTTAGGTCACGCAATTTTTGACCCCATCCTCCCTCATCACAACATCATAACTCTTTAGTAACACGTCTCAGATGAGTTGTCACAAAACCACTACCCCATCCCCCCTCCCCCTAGCAGCTCACTGTTCATTTTTTAATCTTGTGCAGGTTAAACAGGCTAAATATCAAAATTCAAGTTTAAATGCCAAACAAATGCCCTGAAAAATCCTGTGCTTTCAATTCCTATGACTATGATTATCTTTGATCATGACATGCGAAGGAGACCTAGATAAATGTATGAATTAAAAAATTAAAAACAGATATTATTTTATATTATTATGGATAATATGATGCTTATCTTTCTAAACTGGTAATATCAATGATATTATTATTAATAACTAAATACTTGTCTTTAAACTAATGTTTTTGAATAAATGAGGAAATTTTTAAAATAAATGAGGGAATATTCTTGAATCTGTGAAATTCCATCTTCAAAGAAAATATAGTAGTACAGGATTGCACCATTGTAATTGTTAGGCCTTATTTAAAAGACCACATGTAAGTCTACTGTTGCGATGAAAATAACCTGATAAAGAAATTTTTACGGTCCAACATTATTTTTTTGAGTTTAAGTTAAAGTTCAAATCATTTACACATTTAAGTTTAGATTTATGTAAAAACAAATTTTTATCATAGTAGATAAATAAACAAACTCATTATTTTTGAATAATTCAAATTCTGCAATAATTAATAATACTGACAGCTTTACTCATTCATGAGTTGATTTTGTTCCTTTCTGCAAAGGCACCTCTCCAGATTTATCAACAAATGTTGCAATATTAACATACAATTTCAACATCATTGTTGCAATATTAACATACAATTTCAACATCATTGTAGCAATATTAACATACAATTTCAACATCATTGTTCCAATATTAACATACAATTTCAACATCATTGTTCCAATATTAACATACAATTCCAACATCATTGTTGTAATATTAACATACAATTTCAACATCATTGTTGCAATATTAACATACAATTTCAACATTAATTTTATTTTTACAGCAACACACAAAACTAAGTTCAATTGACAGAAGAGCAAAAGATGTAATTGGTAGCCATTACAATCTTAAGAAAATTGAGAAAATCCTCAAGAGACTTTATTTTTAAAAAAGTCTTCAAATAATGAACTTTATGAAAACTTTACTAATCACTTCGAAACCAGTAAACATAAGAAATGTACCAGGCAAGAAATATTGTTGGGAATTCTAAAAATAAAACTCTAAATGACAAAAAATTCTTTTTACTTTGCAGGAACAAACTTTTTAAGGAGTTACCTTCGAACATTACCTTCGGACATTAGAAATACGGCATAACTAACATTATTTAAAAACCACTTTTTTTAAAGCAGCATAAATGTACACTTTACTAATTATAATACTTTTTGTTATTTTGGGATGATTATAATTTCTGTTTTATGTTTTGGTTTTTAAACAGGACAAATGTTGATAACAGTTTTTATAACTGAAAGTATATATCCTGTATAAATATCATTTTAATAATAATCTTTTGTAGGCAAAATTGTACTATCTAATATAACTGACAAAGCAGAACACTGTTTGTGAATTTGGTTGAGTAATTAAAGCCATTAAAAGCAATTAAAAATTTTTCAAAAAGATACAAGTCTATTAAAATTTTGTAAATTTTATCACAACTATTATTGTAAATTTATTGTATGTTAACATAGTTAAAGAAAAATCAAATTGAAATTACTTACCGCGTTTCGTAAAATTATCTTCCCTCAATATACAAACTAATGCTAAAAACCTTAAAAAATGAAACTAATAAACTAATTTTAATATTTATATTAAACTAATTTAAAAAAATTAATTAAATAGCCAAATATTTCTGCTCATAAATGATTAATTGTTAATATTAAATCTATTTAAAATAGCTTTATTAAAAATGAAAATATAATATTTAACATGGCAACTTAGAAGTACCTATTCACTTCCCTTAGATAACAAACAGTTGAATTATTGAGACGAATCACAGATTCTGATTGGGTATCATAAGCATTTGTATTACCATCTTCACGACGACTAAATTACATTGTTTATCAAAAATATTTTTAACAAATGCATATATGATATTTATAATACAATTATTACATCATGACATACCCATATATGCAAGATATGTCAAGAACAACATCAATCATGTCACAACACAATTCATAGGATTGCATATCAACAGGAGCACTAGCAAAAAAAAAAATATTTGCAATATAGAAAACCATATTTGAAACAATTTTATATAATTGATATCATAAGGTTTTATAGCAAGTAATGTGTAAATATAGATGTAAATAATTTATATAAAATTAATATAATATAAAAAATAACATAATTTATCAATGGAAAAACTTAAAAAGAAAAACCTGTCAGTTGCAATATATATTTTTGAAACTACGTCAAACAAAAAAGCCTTCTCAATTCCTGAATGCTAAAAAAAAAAGATAAAAAAACTACAATATCTTTTTTAAATTTCAATTCCTTTTTTAGATAAGATTGTTTCAGTGTTCCAGTTAATAAATTAGAACCTTATGTTCATTATACACTGTACTTGGACTGTTTAATGTACTCTACACAGTGGACTTATTTGTCAAGACTAACCACACATTGGCCTAACTTTTCAAGATTTACTGCAGAGTGGTCTTGTTTGTCAACACTTAACACACAGTAGACTTAATTGTCAAAACTTACCGCACAGTAGTCTTATTTGTCAAGACTTACCGCTCAATTGTCTTATTTGTCAAGACTTACCGCTGAGTGGACTTATTTGCCAAGACTTACCACACAGTGGACTTATTTATTAGGACTTACAGCGAAGTGGACTTATTTGACTTTGTGTATTAGAGTTAAAGGGTCAAGAAAGGTAAAAAAATAAAAAAATAAAAAAAGCAAACAAAACAAAACAAAAACTAACACATTTAAAAGACTCCAAAACTACAAATTTGAATTTTTCTTATTATAATTCTTAGATCAAAGTATTTTTATTGCAAAACCACTACTAGGAAATTTTATTTACTAGTTTTGCAAACTCTTCTTACCTTGATCTCCTTAACTTTACCCATTATTTATATTGCGGCTTAATATCAAAGTTTACCTTCTCCTAGGGAAACTTTCAACAAGATTAAGAAGCCTTATTTACCATAAATAAAACTACAATTAGTAATACTGATTGCCTTTAAAATATATAAACATTTTTTGCAGATGATAGAAAAATTTTATCAACAGTGGAAAATATAAAAAAGTAGAAAAAGTTCAAGTTGATTTGGATGAAGTTGTTGTTTGGTCAAAAAATGGTTACTTTCCTTTAATATTGACAAAAACCTAGAGACGCACTATGGAACAAAAAATGAGAATCATTCTTATCTAATCAACAGGAGAGAACTTAAAAATCTTCAAATATAAAGGGAGATACTAATAACTAAGAAGAAGTGCAAAGTCGAGCAACTAAAATAGTTCCCAACCAAAAAAACTTACGTGTGAAGATTGTCTTGCCAAACTTAATTTAATAACTCTGGAGAAGGGAAGACTACAGGGGGCATGATACACATGTTTAAAATATTAAAAGGAATAAATAAAGTTGAGCTCATCAATCCACCATTGTTTAAAAGTCTAAATACGAGAGGTCACCGATTTAAGTACGACAGGGAAATTATTAATAGTGGAGTTAGACATAACTTTTTAACAAAAAGAGTTCTGCCAGAAGATGCTGTCAATACAAAATCTTTGAACAATTCAAAAACAATTACGATAGATTGAATTAATAAAAAATTTTAACAAATTGAAAAGAATTGAAGAGAACTTATATTAAAACATGAAAAAGCTATAAAAAGTGGACAATTCACACTTGCTGGTGCTTTTACCAGCTACAGCATTAAACAATATTATATTATACTATCTAAATTTAATAAAAATTTGAAATAATTTTATATTTTCATTTAAGTTAAGGAAATATATTTCAATAAACAACAATTTAAAATCATAAAAATACATATAAGATTACTTAATATATATATATATATATATATATATATATATATATATATATATATATATATATATATATATATATATATATATATATACATATATATATATATATATATATACATATATATATATATATATATATATATATATATATATATATATATATATATATATATATATATATACATATATATATATATATATATATATATATATATATATATATATATACATATATATATATATATATATATATATATATATATATATATATATATATATATATATATATATATATATATATATATATATATATATATATATACAATATGTTTAAATTTGATAAAAAAAAAATAAACAATTTTTTTTTTTTTAATTATCTTCGCTTCCAACAAGGTTGCAAGCAACCACTAATTAGTGTTGGAAGTTACTGGAAGAGAAAAGATGAAGATTGTAGAGCAAGATAACGATTGACAGACGACTTAAAATATTGCAAATTATATGAATCAGGAAAGCAAGATGAAGGAAGCAAATTCCAAAGAACTGATGTTCGAAGGAAAAAACTAGACGAATAAGAGATTTTGGAGCACTTAGGAACAGTAACAGAAAAAGGATGAGACTTAATTGAATGACGAGTAATTTATAATAATATTTACAAAAAATAATTTAATAATGGATTTTTGAATTAATGAAAATTGCAAATATTATATACAAAATTAGCTGGAAGAGGATTTGAATAATGATGCAGCTATTATTCACATTTTTTCATAAAATTTATAAATTACCTGAATAAATATATTCAAAAGATTTTCGAGAGTAGGAAGTTGAGGAATAAGTTTTTGAACAACTTTGCTGAATGCCTAAAATTTATAAAAAATTTATTGAATAAAAAACAGTTAATGCACTGTAAAAAAAAATATATATATACAACTACAGAAAAAAAAAATATATATATATATTCAATACAATATCCCTATTATCAGTATAGTGTACTGACAATGGGACACAGTGTCTAAATTCCCAGTTATGTGCATAATATGGCATTCATTTAAATTTTAAAATTCTGTCAAGTCTTTCTTTAAATTGGTATTTATTATACTTTGAATTTTAAAAATTTCATTTACATTGGGATTATGATACCCAATAATTGACTGAACATAAACAAATAATAATTGAAATTATTGAATACAAACAAATAATATAACTTTCTAAGGTTTTAGTCGAAGTTCCAATTTAAAAATTAAAAATTAAAAATAAAAATTTATTCTGATTTTATGAACAAAAATGACTCTTTTTCTTATCATATACAATTCTACAGTTTTACAATTCAAAAAACATTTACCAAATATAATTTAAAAACAATAAATTGCAATTAAGATTAACATGAAAAAAAAGATTGTAAAATTTTTTAATGAAAAATTACTTACTTCAAAAATAGAATGATCATAGATACTAGTCAGATAAAAACTAAACAAAAACATTTTTTAATTTATTGTTTTAATGTTGTTTCTTAAAATATATAAAACTAATTTTTTAAATTATAATATATTATAACATTTGTATAATAAATCATATTATATAATGTTTAACTTAATGCTTATTGGTGCATGTTTGCAACGAATTCACAGCAGCCATTACACCTGAGTTAATGGTGAGAAAGAGTCACAGCAATTTTTTTATAAGAAAATGTGAACAAAAGTGTATCTAGCACATGTAAACTTCATGTTATGTAATGTTAAATATCAAGTTATACTGTTTTACTTTTACTTAAAAAGTACAATATCTTCTTAATTGTATTTATATCTTCTTAATTGTATTTATAGCATTTATTTGCCGTTCATATAAGTTATATAATTATAAATATGCAGTAGCATCCAAAAGTATGCGGACAGGCAAAAAAAAGAAAATTTTATTAATATATCAGCACATACTTCAGCACAAAACCAACATATTATATACCAATCAAAATGCTTTCAAGTTTACAATTATGTTTTGAACAATTAATGATTATCTAATTACTATTTGAAAACATTTTATTAAATAAATCAGCATGATATGTAGACTTGATTCCTTTTATTTGATGGTCAACATGTTCCCATAGTTGTTCAATGGGATTTGGGGATTGGGATTCAATGGAATGGGATTCAATGGAATAGCCACTTCAAAACATTAACTTTATTCTTTTTGAAAAACTCTAAAACCGATTTGGTTATATGTTTGGGATTGTTATCCTGTTGGTATATTTATCCTTAAGGCATTTTATCCTTTGCACCAGGTAACATAATAGTCTCACATATATATTTGTACTTTTCTTGATTCATAGTCTCAGTAATTCTATAGAGCGGACCAACTCCATCCCGGCTAAAACATTACATTACCTCCTCCATGTTTACGGCAGAAAGCTAGTATTTATGATTGTATCTTATACCTGCTGAACATCGAACATACCTGATTCTATCTGATCCGAACATACTATCTGATCTGAACATCGAACATACCTGATCTATCTGATTGTTGACTACTTCACTTAAGATCCTCAGATACAAATTTTTTTAGGCGGTTTTTCAAAGAAACTAATGGTTTTTTATTTGAGTGCTTTCCAAGTAAATTTGCGTGACATAAACAACATTTTATAGTAGAAATACTACAATTCATTCCATAGAAATGCCTCATTTGTATGTTTATATCAACAACTATTAAACTGTGATTTTCTTTGCTTAGTATCACAAGTTTTTTATCCTGATAATGCATTGCTTTGCGCGGCCTTCTGATTGTTTTTTATTCTTTGTAGTCTAGTAAGCTCAAATCTCTTTATAATTTGCCATAATCTTTATTTTTAACAAAATTTTAACTCAAATCTCTTTATAATTTGCCATAATCTTTAAATTTAACAAAATGCATTGTTGATGTTTGATTACTGAATTCAATCAAAAGCCAAGTTTTTCTTACAACATCTGTTATAATAAGATAAAAACTTCTGAGATACCAGTGCTCAATTTCTTGAACATAAACTGATACTCTTGGCAAATTTTAGGTGATTAGTTGCAGAAAATAAAATGAAGACATTGATGTAAGTAGGTTAATGGTGATAGTAAGTAGCTTAAGGGACAAACTTAATTTTTTCCTAGGAATAATGAATAAGGTTTTGCAATATATTCATTTAAAGGCCTAATTTAAAAAAAATCACCCAGCACTACTTTTGTGCCCGTAAAACAGAAATGTTTAGCCAACAAGCATAATTATGTGTGCTTGTCATTGAGACATTATGATTGCCATTGAGAGAGATCATTATGATTGCAAATTGATGTTGGCCACACTTGTTAAAAGTTTTTTTTGTTATACACTTTCCTTTACATTTATTTCTTCAAAATATTTATTTCTTCAAAATATTTATGCATAACAATTTTAACAAACGTATTTAAGAAATTTATTTAAATTAAAAACATTTTTTTTTTCTACATAATGTTTTTACAAAACAAAATTTAAAAAAGTTTCTTGTAATAAACTAATGTATTTAACTTAATGAATTTTTAATTGAATTAAAGTTTAATTGAAGTTAAATATATAAAGCTAGAGCTTTATAAAGTTATATAAATATATATATAAAGCTTAAGCTTTAAAGCTCCATTATAAAACTAGAGTAAAGCTGTAGCTTTATAATAGAGCCTGCATTTACCAGAGTCTGTAAAAGGATGGATTTCTGGAATAAATTAATTTTTAAAATGGGTATTTTTTTTATTATTTTAAGTTGTTACAACCCTCTCTTAACTCTATATCTCCAAAACACAAACCTTGATGAACAAGGCCGCTGTGCAGAGAAACAAGTTGAGCGCGATACTACCAGAGATGTGGTGGGGATCGAATTAAGAACTTCTTACTTATGAGGCAAGCGCTTCACCACTACCACGTTTTATTGTATATTTTTTCGGTATACAAATTCTGAAAAGGTACAGTGGATAGATTTAATTTTTAAAGCACAAAATAGAATATGAAAAATATTTAGTGTATTGGGATTTTCTCTTTAATTATAGATAATAAATGCCCACATCCTAACTTGCTAGCTGATGTAAGGAATCTAAACCTCAGATCCTAACCTGGTAGTTAATGTACACTTCTCCTTATAACTTTAAAGAAATACACAAAAATTGTTTGTGAGTATTTCTCTAATTTAAAAGAAAAAAAAAACCTGAGTTGAATATTTTCCAGACCAGCACCTTCGAGTTCTCCAGTTGCTCTTTGATGTATATCACGTTGTGTTTCTAAATTATAATTATTTTTAGGAAATTCACAATTTTTATATTAGTGGGAACAACTTGAAAATTAAATATATATACAAGTTGTACTATAATGCTTAAAAAGAACTATAGACAGTAACAACTCATAATTAAAACAAATATATTTTCAAAATAAGATTTTTAGTTTAAAAATATTAATGACATATGCATGTAAATTTGACTATATATGCATACATATATGTTATGTATGACTGTACCATATATATGATGGTATCAAACAAAAATTGTCAACATATCAAATAAAAAACTAAAACAAGTGAATTTGTTTGAAAGTTTGCACTCAACTTCTTCTTTGCATTGCACTCAACTTCCTCTTTGCATTGCACTCAACTTTTTTGTATTAAAAACTTCTGAAACTGCATCTAACTCTATTGAAACTTTTTTATTGTACTACCATTTTTAGAACTGTTTTTAACTTGCTTTACTCTGCTTTATTGTACCACCACTTTCAGGACTGTTGCCTTTTTTAATTTGCTTTACTCTGCTTTGTTACTGTAGTCTGACTGGTTTAACTGATGACATTTAATAACATTAATGCATTTGTAATACAAATGGTGTTAAACATTTTTTTAATAAGTGTGGTTAAACATTTTTTTTATTCTCGTGATCTTTTTTTAATCTAACAAGAAAATTTTCTCTTTTTATATAATATTTGTATATTTTTATATTAAATTTACAAATATATATTCAGTTAGATGTACTTAAATGTTGTACTTAGCAATTACTTAAGCCATTTCCTTTATAATATTTTATCTTGATAATAAATGTTCTTTATATTTGATTCTACCCAGCTAATATCATTTTTTTTTTAATGTTTGGAAAGATAACATTCTACTACTTTTTCGCAAAACTAAATTTTTTATGTTTAATTTTAAATAATAAAGTTTTAACCAATTGGTTTGAAAGAAACTGGCATTCATTACAATTACCAAGAATTTCAATTTCAATTCTTCTTTCTATAGAAAACTAATATTTTAAGATTTTTTTTAAATAATAATATTAAGTCCAGAAAAGCAGTTAGCTTTAGCACATTAGTTAATGGTATTTTATAAAAATTTATTATTTATAACAACCGTAACATTTTTGTTTACATATTAATATATATATATATATATATATATATATATATATATATATATATATATATATATATATATATATATATATATATATATATATATATATATATATACATATATATATATATATATATATATATATATATATATATATATATATATATATATATATATATATATATATATATATATATATATTATATATATATATATATATATATATATATATATATATATATATATATATATATATATATATATATATATATATATATACATATATATATATATATAATTTACACAACAAAAATAACATAATATATATAATATACAGCTGTCAGAATTAGGACAACCTTAATCTGTGTGAGATTGGCAGAAAAAATGTAAAACAAAGGTTTGACCATAAAACATAGAAATAAGGTCGACGATTTTTTGCTAACTTCAACTGCTTCAAGGTCAGCAGTTAAGTCGGCATTACCGAATGCTTATGAAACTACTAAACTCCATAACTCTTTTTTATAACTATTTAAAAATACTTTAAAGCAAAAAAATTATTTAAAAAAAATCATTTTATCATACCATACCATGGTTTTAAAGTTATAAGGGTTGCATAAGCGTGTTTTGATGCTTATTTACAGTCTTGTTGTGTAGCAATAAAAATTGTAACGAATATCCATAGTTAAGAATTTTGTTAATGCTTTAGTGCATTTTTTAAACAAAATATATTGGGAATTGTCCACACACACACACATACACAAATATATATATATATATACACACACACACAAATACACACTAATACACACACAAACACACACATACACACAGATATATATATATATATATATATATATATATATATATATATATATATATATATATATATATATATATATATAATGCAACAACAAAAACAAGCTATGTATTTTCTGTAAATCATTCTCACAATAGTATTAATAATAATAAAAATAATAATAATAATAACAACAACAAAAACAATAATAATAATAATAACAATATAAGATAATTAAATTAATACAAGTTATAGTATTAGTAATAAAAAAGTATGTTTACAATAATTACAATGAAAAAAAATATATAATAATAAAAATTATTATGGTAGTTATCAGCATAAAATTATTTATAATAAGTTAATGATTTATTAGGATGGTGTCACTCATATAGAAATCTGATCAAAGGAGGGACACCTATTTTTAAATATATTATAATTAATAATAAGCACAAAGTCAGAAACATATGGAACATGAAAATATAGATTAAAGAATATAGAATATACATTAAAAATAAAAATGTAAAAAAAAATTAAAAGAATATTTTAATAGTAAGAGTAAAAAATGTTAGAATAAAATATTTTTCAGAATTTTTTTAAAATTGATTTTGTCTAAGATTTAAGAAAGGGTACCCTGATCCCCCTCTGCCTACTGATGATCATGTACCCACATCAGGTAGATGTAGTTTTTTGAACTATATATAGACGTAATAGGTCTATAGGAAGTGCATGAAAGTTTAAAGCCATTTTTAAATATTGGAACAACGCAAGATAATTTCAAAATATCAAGAAATTTATGAATATATCATATATTTATATCTCTTAAAAATACTTTCAAACTTGTATAATTAATATATAACTTATATATTAATAAGATCTTTAGATCTTAACATTTTTTGTTGGAAAAGATTGCGTACTTGAATTAATTTTATAATTGAAATCAATGGTTTGAATCAATGGTTTGAAGCTTTTGACACTTGTTTTTTTAAGTGGGGCATAATGATTTAAAATTGATGTTATTTCAGTAATAAACGTTTGAAAACATGAGTTAGTATCATCAGACTTTAAAGTATCATCCCAGTCAATCATTTTTTCCTTGTTGAAATTTTTAAAACTCCTGCTATATAAATTGTGTTTGCATGGTATAAATAATTTATTGGAGTTAATACAAAATTGAGCTAAGATATCAGAAACAGAAGTTGTCAAATTTCCGAAAACAATTTTATCAGTTACTAAATTAGAAAAAATATTATTAATATTGTATCAGATCAATATTATAATCACCAAGTAAGAAAACAGATTTATTCTCAGCAGGTATTTTTTAAAGTAGGACAGACATGATATTATGAAAAACATTGAAATTCACACAAGAGTGTCTGTAAATGCAACCATAAATAATATTAGACTTTTTAGAAAAAATAATTTTCAACAAATACGGATTCTAAACAATTGAGTAAATAAACTCTCTTTTGTTTGTATATTAGTTTTTTTGATAAATATAATAATGTGCCACCACGAGAGGATTCTGTTGATGTGTGCTTTATTTTTTTAATAATCAATGAGAATCCAATAAATTGAGGATGTCCTTAACCTTGTTTCAGTTATAATGGAAAAATTAAAATTAAATAATGATAGTACTATGTTTAAATCCTCAGAGTGTTTTTGTAACAATATGTTTAGATGAAAAAAGGAGAGAGCATTTATCTTATTAAAGTTGAGTGTACATAATTTGTTAATATCATGGTATTTACAAGCTATGTTTAATGAAGAAGACCAGATTCTAAAAAATATGAGATGAAACATAATTATAAACTAGATTAGAGACTTTTTTAAAATGAAAAGACAGAAAAAAGATCGTAGACAGAGATAAATAATCAGTTTTAAGAATTTTATCAGAAGAAAATAGCAATGTAAATTAATTATCTGGTACATCTGTAAATGAAAAGTCACTTAAGGTACAGTTTACACAATACTGCACAAGCAACTTAATTGTAGTAGACTGTACCAAGTATCATTAAGCCTGTCAAATTTTGTATGAGTCCAAAATAAACAAACATTACATTGAGTTAAGCTGTAAATTGACAAAAAAAAACTTTTACACAAAAGACAGTTTAAAGCCATAGTAGAACTGCAATGTAAAAAACAGTAAATAGAAAGTAAATAGCTATGTTAACATTTTTAGTAAAAATAATACTAATGAATACGATTATTAGAAACAAGCAATTAAAACACCAAAACACTAACAGTTATAATAAATAATAATAATAATGGCAGCTTAAACAATAATCCAACAGCAAAACAAATAGTTAAGTATAACAACAACAAAATATTGAATAAAGTTATAAAATCAAATTATATGAGTAAAAAACTATATAAAATTATACTATATAAAATATAAAAAAAAAATATAAATTAAAAATACAATATATCAAAATAAATTATCTAACAATAAATTGTAGTAGTATAAATAAATAAAAATTTAATACTTTTTATATAATAAATTTCTTTTTTTTTTTTTTGAAACTAGAAAATATTATTCTAGAAATAAGTTCACCAAGATCAGTGTTAAAAAAAGACCAAAGACTTTAAGCTAGTATTAATTAAAACTAAGTTTTTATCCAAGTCTTTCTATATAATTTTTTCTCATCCAGAAATATTATATATTTTTTAAATATATAACCACACTATATATTTTATCAGAAAAAATATATAAACAAATATTAAGTAATGAAAATAATAGCTCAAAAAAAAAATTTTTTTTTAAATTTTTTTTTAAATTTCTTCAAAATAAATGTAATAACTTTTATATATAGTAATTTATTACTTTTGTTTGCAAGGTTTGTGGAGGTACAGAGCTGAGGAGGAAAAAAGAAAAGAAAAAAACTTCTATAAAAGCAGCAAAATATTTATATGAAACTATTATGAAACCATTAACCAACTAAATTCTCAACAATTTAAACTTTCATTTTTTATTTCATCTAGTCTTAAATAAAATAAAATATTCATTAAAGAATATTTAACCTTGAAACATGTTGCATTAGCTCAAAACCAGGTGCGGTAATTTAAAATTGTTTTATGAGAAGAGTAGAGATGTGCAGGGTAGCAGGCAATTTTTTTTGGTGTGCTAAGAACCTGTTAATTTGCTAATTTTTTACAAAATTTGCTAAATTTTGCTAAAGTTGCTTGCTAATTTTTGAAGGTGCCTGGCTTACCCAGAATGAGCTAGGTAAATTTTGGAGATAATCACCAATTCTGGTGTGATGGGTACCCTGTAAATTCTGTATATTTGCTGGGTAACCGGTAATTTCAAAATACAAGATACACTGCAGGACTTTCTAGGTAGTTAAAACCTTTTTAGCAGGTAAACCAGAATACCTAAAACCATTTTTGGGTACCCGGCACATCTCTTGAGAAAAGTATTTTAGTATGCAACAACTATTGATATTAATAATGAGAAACTTGAATTGACTAAAAAGTTTAAATTAAAAAAAAACATGAAAACATAAAACCAATTTATTAATAATAACATTATTACCTATTTTGTGATCATCTGTTAACCCATCTACTTTGTGAATAAAAACTTCAAACTTAATGTTTGGGTTTACCTATAAACAAGTTAAAACATTTACAATTTTTTATTAGTTGTCTCTACTTTTACTTGGTTGTCTTTACATAAAATGTAAACTTAATGTTTCTTCTAAAAAAAAACTATTTTCAAAGACCGCAAAAAGTTTAAAAAAATTTTATAGATTGCTTGCCCAACCAAAACCCTCAGTCAATGTAGCAGCACTCCTGACATGTTCTACCTATTTGTCAATTGATGTATGTAAACATTAAAAATAATAAATGTAAAAACTTTCAGAATGTTTTTATTTATACTAACAAAAATAAAAAAAATTCAATCTATTAAGTTAAATTTTTGTGGTTTTTTGAAAATGATAAATTTAATTAGTTTCCTCAATTAATTCAAAATTTGTTATTTTTATGCACAAAAAGACATCAAGAGCCATATTTTACATTAAAAAAATTATTTTCAAATATATTTTCTTTATGCCTTCGTCAATTTCTGTACATAACTGTAGGCTAATTTTGCAACATGTGGTTTTATTGTTGCAGCACTTGCTGCATGCGGTTTTGTTAATTATTGGCCTTCACTAAAGGTCAAAATTTAAATCTTCAGCCTTAAAAATCTTTGCCATGGCTATGAAAATATTAACCTTGGCCTTGAAATGCACGGCCTTGGAATGCATGTCCTTGCTATTTTGCCCTTGTTAACAACTCTGCGTAAAACATATTTTAAACAAAAAACAACATTAAATTTAAAAAACAACCTTAAAAGCTTTTACAACTGTTTGATGAAGTTTAGTAAGTGCATCCATGTAATCATCCTGATAAGTTAAAAAAGAAAAAAAAATTGTTGCTAATAAAATAATTAAATGCACAAAAAATTTAATAGATTTAAAAGTATCAAAATTAAAAATATTTAACTATAAAAGAAATTTATTTACCTGTGCATCCAGAACATAAACTAATGTTCCACAACCACCAAAAATCTGTTGAGAATCAAAACCATCTGCAAAAAAATCAATTTGACCGGGAAAATCTAAAATCTAAATATATATTTAAAAAATAAACAAAATCATTTAATGATTTTCATTTGAACTAAAATCAGCAGTCAAACAAAGAAAAACAGTTCAATCAACAAAACACAAAAAGAAAACTTACATGAAATTGTACAAATGAACTATTGGATATATCATCTTTGACTACTTTATTAGTGCTCTCAAGAAAAAGTGTCTCGTTTGGTGACATCTTATGAAATACAACTTTTAATATTGAAGATTTTCCACTTCTAATAATAATAATTTAAAAAAATAAATTAAATTTTTTGCATTTAGTTAATCTTTCTACTTAACATTTCCATTTGTTACAATTTACAAATTTTTAGTATTATAAAATTTTATAAAACAAAAATCAAATGTTTAATGTTTGAATTAATTATATAGAAATTTATTTGTAAGCAAGAAAAAAAATTTAATAACTATGATATAGAATTTTAAAGACTATTAAATAATAAATCAAAACAAACTTAAAAACATAAATGTTTTTAAGTATGTTGAAAGAAACATAGCTAAATTATGTTTAAAAGTCCATTCTTGCAAAAAGTCAAAAGAAATGAAATACAAAACTTACTAAATAAGTTTTGAGGCGTTTTATTGGAATAAAATTTATTTTTATATAATGTATCAATTTTTATATCTTTTCATAATTTGTTTTCTATAAAATACATAAACTCATAATTTGCATCAAGTATAATAGTCAGGTCCATCACCAAGAGATTTTGAAGGAAGGGGGGGAGGGCAATATTTTTTAAAAATATTTGGCTAACATTTGCCAACAGCCAACTATAGATTCAATTTTGCCGACTCCAGTGTCCATATTGCCAACTAATGAATTTTGTAGGGAGGAGGGGGGGGGAACTAAACACCCCCTATACCCCCCTCCTTGGGATAACTCTGATAATTATTACAAATTATGAAAAAGAACCAGAGCTGTATAGATCTAAACAAAAAGCAGGGTCTCATTTGGTAAATTCTTTGGAACAACTTCTTGTTAGAGTTAGTAAAGATATTCCAGAAATTAACAAGTGTCAAGACAGTTTTGATACTTATTCAAGCTCATGAAGTAGTAAGACCCAATCTTGTGATATGAAAATGGCCAATATTGTATTATTATTAATTATATTACTTGTGGCATTCAAGTCCATTTAATTAAGCACCCAAGTTGTTGGTGCAGTGACAGTCTCAGATTTAAATGATATTTTCTTTTTAAATGATAGTGATAGAGATGATGATTAGTTTTAGATATACTGTTATAAACTACTTAGTATATAACTAATTTTCACAGTGTATATAACTAAATTTAATTAATCTTTAATTTTATTAGTATATAACTAATTTTCTGCTTATTTTAGCTACTCATTTTTTTTCTGCACAAAACAAATTAAAAAGTAATTATGCAATGTGACTTGTTTAACACTTAAAACTGTCATTTATTTACTAACCAAACGTTAGATATAAAAAATTAATGTTACAAAACTCAATTTAAAAACTTGTTACGAAATTTAAAGATGAAATGTATGAAATATTGGTTTTTTTGAAAGATAAAACGATTTTAAAAAAATACATTTAAAGTAAAATTAACTCTTTTGTTTGTTGGCAATTAAACTGTTTTTGATAAATAAACAAAAATAAAAATTTTAGTCTTAATAACAACATAGTAATCGCGTAAATTTAATTTTGAATGAATGAACTTTGAGTTTTATTTTACATGAGGAAAATGAAAAAATGAAGCAAAAACTTTTTCAGAATGCTTTGTTTCTTTTCCATATTTTTTTTGAATTGATAATAATAAAAATAAAGATTACAAAAACTCAAAAAAAGTTTTTTTGAAATTTTGTTATTTTTAAACTTCAATGTCTTTAATGTTTAAAAAAATCTACAGTAAATGTAACTTATATATTGAACGCAATTTTTTAAATTATACTTGATGATTAAAAAAATATTTTTTTTTAATCAATAAGTTTAATCTTTTTAAAATTTAAAAGTCAACCTGAAGCATTTTTTATTTTAAAAGACAACCTGAAGCACAAAATTATCAACTTTAAGTAAAAGTTAAATGAACAGATTTGCTAATGTTTAAATCAAAATTAGAACAATACTAAAAACATTTAGTAAGAAATTTATTAAATGCTTATGTTTTGTACTCGAATAGTTTCTGTCTATATATTATACTATATATAAACAATAACTATTCTAATACAATATGTAGTTATTATTATGTTAATTTTGCAAATATTACACATTTTGTTAAGTTACTATTCATTATTATAGAAATGTTGACAGTACTGCATTTTTCAGCTGTGCTTTTTTTGATTGTGCTCACTCTCACTGAGCACAATATTTTATATTCAACTGTAAACTGTAACAATATATATATATATATATATATATATATATATATATATATATATATATATATATATATATATATATATATATATATATATATATATATATATATATATATAATGTATATATATAATATATATAATATATATATATATATATATATATATATATATATATATATATATATATATATATATATATATATATATATATATATATATATATATATATATATATATATATATACATACATACATACATAAAACTCTGTCTATAAAAAGCAGGGTTGGCAAAAACCCGGGTTTTTTTAAAAAAACCCGGCCCAGTGGGTTTTTTTGGGTTTTATTGGGTTTTATTGGGTAAATTTGGGTTTTTTTGGGTATAATTTTTATTTTGTCTCTGTAAAAAAAATTTTTGTGTTTTTGTTTATTGATATTGAAAATTAGTTTTTTTCTACTTTAACTTTATTTAAAATATATTTAATATATTGTTGTTTAATTATTTATAACAAGAATTTTTACAAATTATTTTGAAAAAGATTTTTAAATATAATTTAAAACTGTAATAGGAAAAAAAAATTTCACGCTAAATCTATATGTATTGATTTATTTTAAATTTAAAAGTATTATTTTATATAATTAAAAATGTCAATGAGAAAATGTGAAAAAGAAGGCTTGAAAATGGGAGGTAGTAACTGAAGTTTCAATTAAACTTTGAACTTGAAATTCAAATGAACAAACTTGTTCCTCTGCGCAGCGGCCTTGTTTATAAAGATTCGTGTTTAGGAGTTAAAGAGTTTTTTTTCTTCTTTAAATCAATTCACCTCCTCAAAGCTTATGGTCACTACAGGCGAGGAGGCTACTTATTTGTGGTTATAACCCTCTCTCAACTCTATAACTCCGAAACATGAACCTTGACAAACAAGGCCGCTGCGCGGAGAAAGGAGTTGAGCGCGGTACTGCCAGGGACGTGGTGGGGATCAAACTCGGAACTTCTCACTTATGAATTGAGCGCTCTACCACAACACCACTACTGCAAAAGAGTTGAGAGAGGGTTGTAACCACAACAAGGTAGCCTCCTCGACTGTTTTGTTGGCTTCTCTGGTCACTACTACTCATTTAAATTCAACTTGGGAGGTGAACAACATTATGTAATAAAAATCTCAATCGATAAAAATATTTGAATAAAAATTGTAATAATGTATTTCCAAATAATGATTCAAATAATAGTAAACCTGCTCTGATAGCTGTTATTGTTGGTTATAATAGTTAATAATAATAGTTAATAATAATTAAGTTAATAAAAATAGTTAATAATTATTTTAGTAAATAATATTATAGTTATAATGTTAAAGTTGGTTATAATAGTTCATAAACTTATTAAATATCTTTAAAAAAACCCAATAAAACCCAGATTTTCCAGGGTTTTATTGGGTTTTTTTAGGCGGGTTTTTTTGGGTTTTATTGGGCGGGTTTTTTTGGGCGGGTTTTTTAATGCCAACCCTGATAAAAAGTCTACACATAAAATTAGCTATGAACTTGATTAAGTTTAAAAGATAAAACTTTACCTACATACCTGCGTAGACCCATTAATAAAATTTTAGGCTTTTGCTCATCTGCAGGATTATGAATATCATTTCTATCTTCTAAGTATCTATGAAATAAAATAATTATATATATGATAGTAAAATTTTGTACTTTTTTTTTATTTTTATAAGACTAAACTAAAAATCATTAAAATAAAACATGTTACAAACTTTGTTTAAAAGAAATCATTTTTCAGCTAAAACATTGTGGATCATGAACCATTTGTTAAAAATATATAAGGCACTGTTATGTTTTCATTTTTTCTTTTTTATTTATTTATTGAAATTAAGTATATATTAGTGTGAAACAGTTTTATCAGTTAACAATAGATAAAAGAAAAAATCATTTTACAAAAGTAAAAGCAGCCAATGAGAATTACATAATTTATAGATGACTGTCAACAAGAAATTAGTACAATAAAAACTATATATATAAAAAGTAGATATAGATAAACAAATTAGATAATAGTTAAACAATTCACATTGAAAAAAACTTTCGAAAAATTTAACTATAAATAAAAAACTAACAAACAAAAATAACAAACTATAAATAAACCTTCAAATTTTGAAATATACACTTAATTCTAGAGACATTCTTTTAAATATGAGGAAAAAGTTGTTCTTCATAATTGATAATGACTGCCTTATTCATAACCCTTATGTGTGTCACAAAGACTCCTATTTTACTACTATATGACAAAATTAAAAAAGCCTTACCCAAAATCTTTTGGAAATGATCCCACAACACTGTAGCTACCACTAGTAGCAAAGTTATCTTCATCATCAAAAGACTAGAAATATAATAAAAATAACAGAACATTGGTATTGTATATTAAAATTATATAAAAGGTTAGAAAGAAAAAAACTTTTTTATGGTGGCTACAAATTTTTAAAATGAAAGTAAATTTATGTAAATTAAAACATAAAAGAAAAGTTTAATTATAAAAATAATTTAAAAAATTATATAATGAATTAAAAAAACCATATAAATAGAGCAAAGGTGAAATACAGAAATGCTAAAACTTTTACCCTATAAAATGGTTTAAAAAAAATCCTGAAGAATAATGAATTTTTTTACCCTATAATAAAAGTCTTATACAACTAGGTAATACCTAGAAAAATACAAACATCAGTTGATGTACATACAGAAGCCCCAATGATAGGTTTATCAGTAACTTGTCAATAATGACGTTTTATGTGAGTCAAAAAAATATTTGTATACTTAGTATACTTAAGCGTCTTTAGTAATCTTTATAAAATAAACTACTTATAAAGAATAAAGACCTTTTAAGTAAATAATAAATCGTAGAAAATTTTCTCCTGTTATTAAACTTTAACAACGAGAGAGAGTATTTGTTAAAATTCAGGACATTTCAGAACATTTCAGGTCTGTGGCCACCATGTTTTTACCTATTACAACTTCTTTGATTAGTTGCTTTTTTTCTTATTTTATTTTATTTTAATTCACCTCCTTAAGGCCGAGAAGGCCACTACAGACGAGGAGGCTACTTATTTGTGGCTATAACCCTCTCTCAACTCTATAACTCCGAAACACGAACCTTGACAAACAAGGTCGCTGCGCGGAGAAACGATTTGAGCGCGGTACTACCAGGGACGCGGTGGGGATAGAACTCGGAACCACTCATTTATGAAGCGAGCGCTCTACCACTACACCACTACCGCATTTAATAAAAGTTACCGCCTAATAAAAGTTGTTAGATAAAAAAAGTTAAATACTGTTTAAATCAATATTCTAAAATAGGATATTAATATTTTTAAACAATGATGTTTTTAGTGGTTATATGAAAATAATGGCCTATTCTTATACACTAGTTTGGGTAAAGTCAGCTTTCTTATTAGTTTGTGATTGGAAATAAATAAAGCTTGATTAATAATATTTTATGACTGTAATTTCATATGTGTTTGAAATTACAGTCACGACCATAAATTGAACCACTCATCAGTACTCATAATTAAACAGTATTTATTTGCTTTACACATATTTGACAACTAATATTAAATAACTGTTAAAATTTTTTCATTGCCTAAAAACTTGACCAAAAGAGTCTAGGAGAATGATGATCATGATCACACATCATGATCACACATTACCTGTTACTGGTAACATGTAATCAAATACAATGTGACACATGTCCTTATTGGACTTTAATTGAATATAAACTTAAAAATTGAAGCTAGTTAACTTTTTGTCTGTTGAAGTTTACCTGTACAATATTGTTGTTCGCTAGACCTACATGCTTTTGTAAAAAATTGGCTATTTGATTTTTGGATTTAAAATTGACTATTTCACCTTCGGAAAACACATGCTTGACCTTTTTGGCATAGTCAAACATGTTACTATGGACTTTTTGAACATTGATTTAATGTGCATACTTTTGTTATGTACCTATTCACTTATTGTGACGAAATTAGGTTTGAAACCTGACTAACTTTTATATGTGATTTTACTAACCACCTATGAATAATTTGACCAAGCATTCTTCTTTGACCATAACCCAATATTGTTGTCTTTTATTGTTCATCGCACCTTTACATTTTGCCATTATATCTTTGCTGGCACTAAAACTCAAAATTTTTCGTAATTCAAGTCAAGTTTTACCTTATGGTTTTTTCCTACTTGTGCAGTTGTTATTTCTAAAAAATCTCTTTTTTTTAATCTTTTCAACAACTCTCTGGGAGCAAACCTTTTTATATTATTGCAAAAAACCAATAAAAAAAGGTATTGTTAGTCATTAAGATCTATTATTCACAGATCACTAAATTTTGTATTTTATCTCAAGAGTTAGGTTATATAGACTTTTAAAAATTCTTTAACAAAAGTCATTAACGAAAGCAAGTCTAACATACTCCCTATCATGAGTCAAACTTTATTACTTATCTCAACGATAAGACAGAATTATTTGCAAATAGCAAATAGATTTGTCTAACTTTAGCTATTCAGTCTCGTTAGTATAATTAGAAAATTTGATTCATTAATTATTAAATTATTAATATTTCAACTTGAGTTTAACAACTGACTTTGGCTCAACTGACAATCAATAAAAACTTTAATCCTCTCATTCATTCATTCTCATTCATTCTAATGCTAACTCATTAACTTTAATAACAAAAAGATTCAACTGTTACATGAATGTGTTGAGATGAGGCCATTGCACTAGTCATAATAAAAGGCTTTGATTTAGTCTGGTAGTCTGGTAGCTAGTCTTTTCCATAAGCTAGTTTCATTAGCCTATCTGAAAATTATGGAATCTTTTTTTTTTCAAATTGTATTAATGAAATTGTCAATGATGCCTTTATTTATAGTAACCTCTAATATACAAAAAAATTCCAGTACTAATCTTACATTGTTTCTCTACCTATAATAATGATCTTTCTGACAATCTTGCCAATAAATTTTAATTTTAAATTTTAAAATAAAACATAATTCTGTTATTTACTGTTATTTATTTTCAATTTAAAATTATGAATTTTATCATGTTTATACTTTTATAATAATAAATGGTATCACTTATACTTTGTCTTGTATTTCGTCTGTTAATTTTTTATTACTGATCACACATATCAACTATATATCCAAATTATTGCAAATTTATCATCTACCCAACTTTAAAAAAAAAAAGTACTTTGTGTACATTTTCTAACCTTGATTCATTAATTTATCCTTCCATTTTTGGAATACTTTTGTTATTTTCAGGATGAGTCTTCTATTAATGCACTTTCTCTTCTAAACAACATGCAAAAGCATATTGTAAATATAGTTGGATCTATTCTAGCAGCCAAGATAAATCTTTAAATTTATATTATTTACCAATTAAAATTACTGTCAATATTGGTTTTTTATTAAAAACTATAACAACATTAATAAATTAATTTGGGATAACATATTTGAAACAACTTTTGACTGCATACATAATTTTATTATTCAGCATTTTTGTGTAATAAGAAAATTGTAGAACCTTATAAGTAAAAAAGCAATTTTACAGATTTAGAGCATACAATTTTTATCACATAAATCTAGAAAGTACAATAACTGATTTAGGATATGTATACAAAACTTCAAAATATAAGCTTAAAGATAAAACAAAAACATGGTTAACTAGCCCTGTTAGAAAGTTAAGAACCAGCTCTTGTTAGGCACATACTTGCTAAATCTGAGTGAAGATTTCTTTCAACTAAAATTGTTCAGTGAGTTATTTAGCAATCATATCAAGAAGTTTATAACATTATTATTATTCAAAACAAACATTTATGTTAACATTATTTCCTAACATGATATGTCAACATAATAACATCATTTTAAAATATTTACAGTTTTAAAAAATCTTTTAAATACTTATGACCATATGAATAAACTCACAGGGGCAACTTGTGTTTTAAAGACAAAAAATGGTGGCTTTATATTTGTTGGGTTTACTCTTTTATATTATTTATGTTAGATTAGGTACACTATGATTGCAAAAATACCAATGCGCTAAGTAACAACCCTGAAGAGTGATTTAGATATAGTCATTGTTTTAAAAATATACTAAATGGAGGTAAACTAAAAAGTTTGTTTTCATGGTTAATTATCATAATTAACCATGAATACAAACTTTTTTGTTAACTATGTTTTGTTAACAAAAATATGTAACATAGTTCTTATGTTACATATTTTTGTTAGAAAAAACATAGTTATTAAATTGCATTGGTAATAAAAGGTTTATAGTGAAAGAAAGTCAAGTAACTCAAAGCCATCCCAGTTAACAAACATTAAAGAATAATGTTCAAATAATATCATAGTATTTTGATATGTTAATTACTCATCATTGGTAAAATGAAGGTTAAATCTTAAAAATTGAATATTAAATTAATTTTTTTTATTTATAATTAAAAATAAAATTTTAAAAACAATAACTAGTCGTGCTTAAAATTTTAATAACTTATCAAAAGTAAAGATAACTCAAGCGACTACGATTCTTAAAACAACTTATAACAAATATTTAAGAAGTTGAACTCAATAGATACCATTAATGCTAATAACTCCTTTTCTTGAGGAGCAAGTAAAATGTACAACTATGCTTCAAATAAAGCTTTAAATAAATCTTTGGTGTTGGTTAAGCAACCTATTTATGTGTGTTACATAAAATTAAAAACAACTGATCAAAGGTTTTGTACACAGACATTCCGTAAAATTTATCATCATGTGATTTGCTCAACAATAAATATATTTGATACCGCCTCTTGGAAAAATTACCCGGTGTAAATCGGCAGTAATTTTGATGGTGCGAAGAAATTTTTTTTATATAATAAATAAGAATATTTAAATTATATTTAAATATTCTTATTTATTATAAAAAAAACTTAAAATATAAAATATAAAATTTTTTTAAAACGGCTGCTTAAATGTGTAACTAACTCTTATTTATTTTTATTTTTTTATAATTTAATTTTATATATAAAAAAAGGAATTTAATTAATTTGAAATAAAATTAAATTGCAATTAATGTTCCATAGGGTAAACCGAAGCTTGAAGCTACTGTTTTGAAAACGAGCTTGACGTAAAACTTGATTCAAATATATACGAAAGCGGAATACATATTGCATGTGCTAACTGTTTGGTATACTGTCAGGTCCAAATGATGTGCTAGGTTCTAGTTTTGTTAGTTTTTATAAACTACTTTTGCTAAAAAATATACGAAATCCATCTTAATATATTCACAAAAGTATTTGTTTTGGGCAAATTTACGTTATCTACCGTAAAAACACTTCCAAAGTGTTTGTTAAACACTTCAGCAATCTCAATATTGCTAGTAGTAAAGTTGGTTTTTAGATGATTTTTTTTTTTTTTTTTCTTTTGGGGGGGTGGGGTGGGGTTGTTAAATTTTTATTTACGTATATAAAAAAGTTACTAGAGTTATTTTCTTTGACCCGTTTTAGTTCCACTTTTTTATGGTGTGTGGATATGGTTTTTTTACATTTTGATGCATATTGGATAAATGCCTTTTTAAGCAAGATGGTCTAAGTTATCGACCATCTTTTTCATAAAAATATTTGCGAATTGGCATTTTATAAATATACTTTGGATAAGAACGACTTTTTTCCTTATATATATTGTTCTAATTGGAGCAAAACGATCAAAACCTTTACAAAAATGATCAGAAAAGATGTTCCAATACTCTTCAGTCTCTTCAAATACTCTTCAAAACAAAAGAAAAATCGTAATCCCAACTTATTTTTAATAAATGAAATAAAACCAATTAAATCTGTATTTTTGAAATCATAAAAAGATTCAGAGTTTAACTACGGCTGATAATAATCAAAGGTGCTTTTAAGAAAAAGGACTGAGTTATGGTCATTGAACTAAATGGACACTCAACAGAAATATTACTTAATAGGCAAATGATATTTGAAAGAATAAGATATAAAAAGAACAAAAATATTATTTTCTTGTATGGGCTTCAGTACATAATGGTGCATTCCAAGACTGTTTACTAAAGTTAAAAAACGATTATGATATTTTTCGGTAAATTGAAATCTCCAACAACGACAAATTGAGAAACAGATTCACAGAGATTGCTAATTATCAATATCATCGATTTAATCATCAAGAGAATAGGACGGTGGACGGTAACAAGTAATAAAGCGGAGGTTACTAGACTAAAAAACTAAATCAACACAAATGATGGCAATACCAGTGTCAGAGTATTTCCTTATATGACAGACTTAACGTCATTTCTGCAGTATATAGTTACACCACCGCCAGTTTGTATCTGGTCCTTACGATAGATGGTATCATTTTTTTTGGACAGGCCGTAAAGTTCGGGAGTTTATAATTGAAAAAAAGTTTCAGAAACACAAAATAAGGCAGGTTTGATTGACTCAACGTATAAAAAAATTTGTTGAGTTTGTTGGTAAGACTTCTTGCTTTAAAAAGGTTAACTACAAAACTGTTAAATGAATTTATGGTTAAGTGATTGCTTGTGTTTATAAAGTCGCTAGGTTTTACGACACAACTTCTCTCTTACACTATTATACATAATTACATTATATATCATTGTTATAATATACAATTGTAATATTACAATCATATATCATTACAATGATATAGTAAAAGCCAGTAAGACCAATAATATATATTATAATATGTATTATAATATATATATATTATATATTATATATTAGCAATAATATTTATATATATTATAATATATTATAATAATATTTATATATATTATTGCTAATATATATATATATTAGCAATAATATATATTATAATATGTATTATTGCTCTTGCTGGCTCATTTCGACTGGCAGATATCTTAAGATGTACAAGATTTTTTGAAGAAGCTTAAAATTTTTGATGAATTTTTAAATTATATGTTATTTAAAAATCATCTTAGAAAGTGTTTTTTTTTTTTTTAGTATGTGTGTGTTGTGTGTCTGTGTGTGTGTGTGTAAAAAATCAAAATATTAAAGCTTCCTGCCTACCTTTGCTCTACTATTAACATGATTTTGTAGATATTCAGCAGAAACGCGCTAACTACTTTTTATAGTAATGTTTAAGGTAGCAGATCCTCTTAAAATAGAGTTGCTTAAGTTGTAGTTATGCAACATTAATTGCAATGAAATTTTATTTCAAATAAGTTAAATTTTTTTTTTTATATATAAAATTAAATTATAAAAAATAAAAATAAATAAGAGTTAGTTATACATTTAAGCAGCCATTTAAAAAAATTTTAAATATCATATATTTTTAATTTTTTTTATAATAAATAAGAATATTTAAATATAATTTAAATATTCTTATTTATTATAAAAAAAAAGTTTTTTTTTCTTTTGTTGCAAGTGTACTTATACTAAATGCCTTATATTTACGTTTTCTAATTGGGCAAAAAGTCATTTTTTATTTAAAAGATGCAAATAAACTTGTAGACAAGATGCAAATATAACCAAAAGATGTGGTATTATTAGTAAACTTTAGGCGGTGAAACTTATCCTAAAGTTTATTGAGCACCGTTAAAATACTAAACAAACAGGAAGTTTTTAGGGCTAAATTAGTTTTTTATACTAAAACTAAATTAGTTAACAATAAACTGTTTTTACATAACTAATTTCTCTTAAGTTCATCATTAAAATTGACTAAAAAATTTAGAAATTTATTTGATTTTTATGAGGATTTGTCACCTTAGGTGTTACAACAAAGACCCTGGTTGTGGAATGTTTTGTGTTCGGCTGGACAAGTGTTGTCTAAGTTAGTTCAAATACAGTCATGCTATAGTAGACCACCATGCGTTAGAATATAAAAGGGCTGTACAGATCCTGAGATACATTACTACTAAATCAAACCTGATGATGGTCACCAAAAGCAAATGAGAATGAGTTTTCTAATATGCAACATTGAAAGTACACCAGTAGAACACAATATTTGTTTAAACATTTTCTTTTTTTTTTTTTTTTTTGACACATTTATGATGCATAATAAAATTGATGCAAAAAATTTTTCTTATAAAAGTTCTCTATGATATAATAAATACTTTTGAATTATATATAGTTATTACTAATAAATATGAAATACAGAATTCTTAATAATGAATTTCCAAAATCTCCATCATACTGACAGGCACTGTAACCAAACAAAATAAAATTTAAAGTAATGTTCCCAAGGTTTTGTGGCTCAGGAAACCAGTCTAAAACGTTTTTGCAGCCAACATCAGCAACTAAAGAAGTATAATTTTTTCTTAGTGTTTTATGAATATGCTTTGTGGTAGTTTTTTAATAAATTTATTTGCTTAATCTGTTCAATTTTAGTTATGGTTGATTATGTCTCAATTTAATTTCAGTCTAGTGTTTTGATGTTTGTGTGTAAAATAGAGCAAGTTCTTTTAACTGGATTGATACTGTTTTGAAAACACGTATGCCTTGATTTGTCTTTTGTGACAATTATCTTTAAAATAAAGATCATGGTCTCTTCCATCGTCCTGCACGTTCTTTATTATGCAACTTACATACCCAGCTTGTTTGAACTGCTTTTAATTATTTAGTTCCAAAATCCTATTCTATCTGTTTTTATCTTACTTTAAGGCATACTTTTATTTAATCTACAGATCTTACTCTCGCGTAAAAAGTCATTTAATTTGGCTTCCATTTTACTAACTTTAAACTTATTTGGTATAGGCGTTGCAAAAGCTGGGTGTGTTATTTGACAAGTTATAATAGAGTTTATAAAAACTTTATTTTCTTTAATTGAAAATTGGTAAACAAAGAAAAAGTTTCCGTTGCTAAAAATACAATTCTTAAGACCTTTAAAGGAATTTCTATCCGAGTTAAAATTAAGAAGGGGCTCCTTTCTTAAGAACTTATTCTCCCCAAAACATACTTGCTCCTTTAAATTAAACTTAGCGCTTGTTGCTCTGTAATTTAATGTTGTAACATCTCCAAGTTTTATAATTAAAGAACCACCTATGAGAAAAAAAATTGTTAATAAATTCAATTTTTTGTTTTGTTTTGTATGATGTAGAAAATTCCAACTTGAATGATGTATGAAATCATTGATAATGGGGAATCTTACCATTGGAATACTTTCAGATAAAAAACCGTTTATTTCTATATCCGAGATAATGCTATAGTTAGTTGTACTGTTTTTACGACTTTTAAATAATTCGACTGCCTTACCGACTACCGACTAATATATTTTTTTAAGTCGCAATAATTTAGGGGTTAGTTTTAAATAATTGCTAAATATCAAATCTATGCAATTATATTTGCAATTAGATTGTATGAATGACATTTATATTTTAGAGCTACATAATATAATTTTGCCACAGTCAGCTCTAAATCAGGTTTGAACGGCCCTTTATGAAAATATTTTCAAAAATCACAAGCATAGAATAAACAATCAAACAAACAAAAAGTTGAGGAAATACATAACCTAAAATTTATTTAGGTATAAATACTGTTAACATGCAATAAATTTAATAAAACTTTAAAATAGTAAACAAAAAGTTGTAGAAATGAGTAAATGCTATTCTTTTTATCGAACAGACAAAATTTAAGATTGAAAAAATTAAATCTAATAAATTTATATATTGATTTTAAGATTACTAATCGACTAAATCGGCTTTTAGTCGATTAGTAGAAAATCCATAGTCGATTAAATCGAGTTTTTGATTTTTAAAAGTCGACTATAGTCATAGGCGCTGGAAGTGTTT